AAAAGAAGTAAAAAAATACCAGCTCCCGGGGCCGGTGAGATGGCTTAGTAGAATAAGCACTTCCCTGGCAAGTCCAAGGGCCTTAGTTCAATCCCTGGTTCCACAAAAAAAAAAAAAAAAAAAAAAAAAACAGCTCCCAACTCCAAGCCAGGTACAGAGTGTCCACAGTGGTAAAGTGCCCTGTTTCACAAGGATGTACCACCTACAAAGTTTTTTACTGTCCCTAGGCCAGAAAGGGCCACACTCAAGGATGGGCTTTCTGGATCCAGATCTCTCCATGCCTCAGGCTGCAGGTCTGCCTAGCATTTCTGAGGAGCCTGAAAATGAGGCGACCTCCACAGGCGACCACAGCATCAGTGAGAGGGGCCCAAAGAGCCATGCTGTCCTGGTGTAGGCAGGTTACCACATCTAGGACTTGGGGGGAGCAGGTAACCCTCTGTAAGAAACTGCCAGCTGCTGCCAAGCACTGCCACACACTGTAGCCTTCAACTCCTGAAAGTAGAAGAGAATGGTCCCCAAACATACCATGTACCCGAATTCAATGGATGAAATCTTGGCCTGTACAATGGACCAGAGTCCCCAGAAGAAATGCGAAGCAAGGGCAAATCTGCAATTACAAAATGAGAAACACATTGGAGCTGTACAGTGTCAGCCACAGACACACAATGGCTTTACACAGGCCACTGTAACTGAGAAGTCACCTCTGGAGCAAGCTCCATGGGCTCTAAAGGGACTGAGATCGGAGGAAGGCCATTCCTGGCTCCTTCTGACCTCTGGCCAGAGGCAAGTACACTTACAGGTGTGAGTACAATGGCAAGCCACACACAGTGACATTCTCAGGACACAGGAGGACTCGCAGTGGCCGTGCTGAGAGACAAGGAATCAACCTTTGCTGCAAGTGTGAGTGCACAGCCACAGTAGCCAAGCAACAGCCTGTGAAAACCACTGCCTTTTCTCTTTTTTTGTGGCCAGCTCAGCCCACCCTGGGGGCAGGGCTGGCACAGCATGTGGTGCCAGGGATTGAACCACAGTCCCTGTGTGCTTGCCTAAGCAGGTGCTTTAGACTACTGAGCTATCTCACCAGCCCAAACCACTGTCTTTTGCAGGATGTTCCAAGGAGACCATCCTGAGTAGGAGACCTCTCAAATCCCATCCTCACCTCACACAAAAAGGAGCACATGAGCCCCGTCACCATCTCTACCCCCCCACACACACACACATACTGGGAGTCCATGTTCCTCTTCAAGCAATCCCTTGGGTGAGGCTCTGCTCTAGCATCCCTGCTAGTCCACCTCTGGGTTGTGGTGGTCTACTGTGATCCACCTAGTCCCTCAGCACTGCCCTTTCTGTGGGGTTCTCTACCAGTATGTTATTTCCACCCATTCAAGATAAAGGAGGGGTTCTCTACCAGTGTGCTTTCCATTTCCACCTGTCCAAGAAAGAGGGGAACACTCTGCGCCACTGGAGCCTGGGGCAGGCTGGGGGCAGCAGGCTCGGCGAGAAGGGCGAGCACTCTGAGGACCTTGAAGAGACAACTTGTGATGGGGAGCAGAAAAGGTGGCCCAAAGGTTCACAAACTGTCACAAGGCACCCCAACAAAATAGGATCCCACTAAAGAGAAGCATGAATAAACTGTGACTTGGAACTTCACAAAATCTGATGTTTTAGGCCCCTGCTGTGAGAGCTACTGAGGAAGAAGTCAAAATAGTTCATAAGGCAGTATGCTATTCTTATAAATTGAAAAAGGAAAACAATTACCTATTGACTTCAAGCAACATTTCTTCTTCTATTGTGGATTTTTCTTCACTACTGAGGTTTCCAAACTCATTTTGGAATGTAGTCAAGTAACTGGAAATAAAATGGAGCTTAAAAAAGAAGCAACTGTGTTAGGTTCTATGATGATTTAGAGCACACATTAACAATAGCTGCCACAAGGCATGCACATCGTGTGACTGACTAGATCCTGTGGGAAAGCCTGTGGTGAGTCCTGCGCTGTGAGCCAGAGCTAAACCTTGGCCGCTGCCCACTAGCTTGGGTCCCAGTAGAAGCCCTACTGGACTTGGTGTGGCATGCTTGCTTCCACCAGTGTTTCTGGAGGATGTCACTAGGGTATGATCATTGTTTTCCTTATTCAAATTTACACATTTTTTTCACTGTCTGATCTCTAAGCAGGACAGGCTGACAACAAACTTTTTGCCACACTGGCCACCATTCCACACAGGGCTGCCACAAACATGCAGTGTCAGGGCTCCAGAGCGGCCTGGTGCTCACCACAGACACTTCCTCAGTGAACACTGACTATACCAGGCATAGTGCCTTCCCACCTTGAGATGACATGATTATTTACACATGCTGGCAGATTGGCAAAGTTACACTTAGATTTAGAGTGAAAACAATAGCCTACATTTCTACTCAAGTGGCACAAAATAATACAGTTCATTTAGTTTATCTCAGAACTCAAGAATGGTTAACGCATTTGAAAATATTTCAAAACAGACTAAAGAAAAACACAAGATCACTTCAACAGATACATAAAGGTTATCTGATAAAGAAAGCCCCACACCCATCTGTAGAGCTTTTCAGAAACTCAAAATGAGAAGGGAAGTTCCTAAAATTTACACGTTGCCCTACAGGAGGTCATAAAGCTCTTTCACTGAAACGGAACCTGCTCTGTGGAGCACTCTTCCCTCCCAAGGCTGACAGTTCTGAGCTCTGTTTCAGCATTCCTCGCTTAGCATTTCTCTCCCACTGGCCCTAACTCAAATACCCAAACACTGCAGCGGTGCTCTTCCCCAGGCTGAGCAGCCCCATCTTTGCCACCCTTCCATTTCATGGAATCATGGCTCCTTGTTTTCAACATGTTCCAGTTCATCTCAATTAGCTGTAAAATGTGGCCACAAGAGAGGTGTTGCAAATCTTAGCCCTCATGTGGAACAGCCAGCCCTGAAGATTTCTCATCCAGGCAGGAACCCAGCTGCGACTGCTGTCCTCACCCCCAACCGCTGTGGTGCAGTGGGGACCTCCAGGCAGCCAAGCTGCCCCTCCCCCATGCTAAGAGGGGTACCTGGCACACACCCACACTCCCTCCTCCCAAAGTCTTAGCAATTGCCAAGTGAATTCGCACAAGAAACCGAACATCCATACAATCATCAGCCTCTGGTACCAGAGGACAGGAAGGGAACTGCTCACGCCAAAGGCATTTCCCGCCAGCTACTAAATCACAGTGCCCAGGTTCTCCTCTCTTCACACAGTGTGAAATGAATAGAGGAAGGTCAATGACCCAAAATGAACCAGAAAGCAGAGCGGTGGCTGGGCCTTTGGGAAAAGCTGGAGGGACTACAAAGAAGGCCAAATCTCTGGCACAGGGATTAAAAAAGAACTCAAGAGTCATAGGTGAATCCACATTCAACACGGAAAAAAATTTTTTTTTAAACTTAGCAAAAGGGTTAACTAGCAAAAGGGTTAATTTAAAAAGTTTT